TCGAGTCAATTTGCAGAGGTGAAAGCCATCCAGCTGGCTTTGGACATTGCTGAGCGAGAGGGGTGGCCGAGACTCTATCTCTACACTGACTCGTGGATGGCAGCAAATGCCTTGTGGGGTTGGCTAAAGCAGTGGCAGCAGAACAACTGGCAGCAAAAAGGTAAACCAATTTGGGTTGCCGAGCTGTGGAAAGACATTCCAGCTCAGATGGAGATACTGGTGATAAAAGTGCATCATGTAGATGCACACGTACCTCTGAGTCGAGCCACTGAGGAACATCGACACAACCAACGAGCAGATGAGGCTGCTCAAGTGTTCCAGTCTTAGACTAGGAACATAAAGGTGAACTCTTTTTGGCTCAATGGGCCCATGACAGTTCATGTCATCAGGGCAGAGATGCAACATACAAATGGGCTCGTGACCGAAGAGTGGACTTAACCATGAACGGTATTGCACAGGTGATCCACGACTGTGAAACATGCACTGCAATTAAGCAGGCAAAAAGGTTGAAACCTTTGTGGTATGAGGGAAGGAGGTCAAAGTACAGGTATGGGGAGGCTTGGCAAATTGACTATATGACACTGCTTCAGAGCTGCCAGGGTAAACGCTATGTGCTTACAATGGTGGAAAAAGGAAAAGGATGGTTGGAAACATATCCTGTGCCTCATGCCACAGCCAGGAATACTATCCTGGGCCTTGAGAAGCAAATTCTGTGGAGACATGGTACTCCAGAGAGAACTGAGTCAGACAATGGGTCTCATTTCAAAAACAGACGTGTGACTGACTGAGCTAAAGAGCATGGTATTCAGTGGATATCCATCAGCCCGTTCCAGCACTTGAGCACTATTTCAGTAAATTTTTCCTAATATCCAGTCTAAACCTCCCCTGGTGCAACTTGAGGCCATTTCCTCTAGTCTTATCATTATTTACTTGAGAGAAGAGGGCAACACCCACCTGCCTACAACTGCCTTTCAGGTAGTTGTAGAGGGATTAGGTCTCCCCTCAGTCTCCTCCAAACTAAACAACCCCAACAGACCTTTTTACCTTTCAGTTCTCCCTGAGGCTTGTGCATATTCACTGCAAAGATTCTTCTGATTACCCTTCCCCTCAAACAAAAAAGCGTTTTAGTTAACACTTCCACAGTAGTTCTCTTCCCCTCCCTTTCCCAGCACATGTACAGCACGTGACATAAACGGGGCAGGCGTGTCCCCTTAAGACCTTCACTGCCTTCAGTGCCCCTGCAGAACAGGTATGGGGCCCTGCAGGAAGAAACGGCTGGTGGCGGAGGGGGCAGCACAAGGAGGTGGTGATCCCTCTTGTCACCAGGTGGAAGGAGGGGAACTAGGTGAGGATGGGGAGGAACGGAAGCAGGACCCTGCTCAGGGCAGCAGGAGCGTCCCCTCTGGACCTCCCCTGCTTTCCTAGGTGCCCTCACAGAGCAGGTGCAGGGCACTGGAGATAAAGGACTGAGGAAATGACAATGCTGATGAAGCCCCATCCAGGGAGTCACTGAAGCAGCCGGCTCCACGCATTAGGACTGATGCTGCAAAGAAGTGGGTGATTGTTATCACACGAAAGTTGTCGTCTTCTGTGATCTTTGACCTTCCTCTGAGCTTATGTAGGTGTATGGAATGGAATATCTCTGGTCAATTTTGCTGTCTGTCTAATTTAGCCTCCTACGGGGGGGTCATAGAACTCCCTGTAGTGTCTGATGTGTCCTTGAAGTCCCAGCAATAGCATACATTCCAGCGTTTGTTATCAGTCCTAGCTGGAACACTTTGCTACTAGTTAAAAGAAAGCTTACTGAAGGAAAAAATAATCAGTAAAAGGAAAATTGGCTTCATCCTGGCTCAAACCAGGACATTAGTTAAGCTGCCATTTTTGAGAAGTGTGCAGCACCTCATTCTGTGAGAACAAAGTTGATAAGAATATTTTATTTTCATTCATGGCCAGCCATGGTATGCAGGTTTCCATATTGATTGAGGTGTTTTAGCAGTTTTAAGCTAGCCAGGTGATAGGGCAAGGAGGAGTGAAAGTCGGGGCAGCTGACCCCAGCTGGCCAAAAGAAGTATTCCATACCTAAATGTCACCCTCGCTATACATTGGGAAGTTTGCTGAGGACAGGGCTCTTCTTCAGTGGACACCATCCCTGGAGGGTCTTGTCCATCCTTCTGCTCCTGAGGCCTACTGTCCTGTTTGTTGTGACCATCACACTCTTGTGGAGCTGTAGTGCTTGCAGTGTTTGACATCTAGGCATTCACTGCTGGGAACACCTATATGAGCCGAGTATAACTTTGTATTTCTTATTAGTATTGGGATTAATAGTAGTTCTTTATTATTATTTTATTAAATCTGTTTTCATTTCAACCCATGGGGCTCCTTTTTTCCCCTCTTCTCCTTGGGTGTGGAGGGGTCATGGGGTGATAGAACAACTGCCTAAACGTAGACATAAACTAAAGTGGTATTGCATTTATTATTGTATATTAAGAGTTTTATTGGTACATACATATTTTGCCCAATATGTTTATTTTAACTGTTAGTGAATAGAACTTAGTGTTGCTGGTTAACATGTTCTTCAGAGGTGTAAAACTTACACATGTTGTCTTTAACCTATTTTATCCATCAATAGCTGAAAGAAAAACAGTTGACTGCCATCAGAGAGCAATTTAACACTGTAGTATACTTTGTTTAGAGGAGGTAGTGTAGGAGCTGGCCAGGTTAGTGTAGTATCTTCCTTAAAAAATTAGGTATTAAGCATGTTATTAATACTATAGTTTTAGTCAATTAAGGTTAATTTAGGTTATATATAACTTAAGACTTAACATAGCTTTGTAATCAAAATTCTAAATAGTTTTTTTAAACAACTAGGTAACTTGCATATCTTAGAGAAGATTCCTCACTCCTTAAAATTTTCCTTGGTTCTGAAAACAGATTTTTCCAGTTTTTATTGCTGGATGTTCATGGTATATGAACTAAGTCAAAATACTGACTGTGTTTTATTCTGTCCTAGGTGATTTGCAAGTCAGATGCTCCTACAGGGGATGTTCTGCTTGATGAAGCTCTGAAACACATAAAAGAGACCCAACCTCCTGAAACAGTACAAAATTGGATTGAACTGCTTAGTGGTAAGCCTCAAACATAATGTATTTACTTTTTTCCCCCAATAAAGCTAATTATCTGGCATCACTAGAGATTATATTGTAAGATTTTTGGGGAGAAAGTATGCAAAAAAGTTAATTAGTCTGTCCTGTAGAGTAGTCTCTTGTTGATTGTAGCCTTTAATCAAATAGAAGTAACTTTTGCTTTTGACTTAACTTGGTACAGAAAGAATCTAGACAGAAGTCAGAGGACATCCCTGCTCTGTGGAAGAAGTGACTCTGAAGTAAATCAAGACTGCACCATGGAGATATAACTGTCTTTCTCTGTAATTGGAAATTAGGGTTAGTGGAAGTTTGGAGTATAGCCATATGGATTCAGTATTCAGATCTTTTGTTAAAGAAAGGAGATAAGGAGCTTGCTGTTCAGATGTAAAAATTGAGGGTGATTTGGCTATTAATCATAAAGAAACAAAGAGTCAGGAGTTCTTTCCATTTTTCCATTAACTGGAGAAATGTAACAAATATTTTCAAATATTAGATACCTATAGTTGTTCAAAACAAAGTCTTCAAGAGTACTTTGCACACATCTCTTCTTGTAAAGCTAATAAGTTGTTGCCAGAAAAGGAAATGTCAATTATATTTCATCTTTACAACTGCAGTTAACACTTTTCATATACCTCACCAACATTTCTATTCTCAGGCTGCATAAATTAAACTGAAATTAACAATTACCATCTTTTAACATGTAGTGCTTTTATTGGTTTTTGGCTTGTTAGGTTTTTTTCTGTAGCCAAAATTCATCACTAAGGTTTGTGTTTTTGCAAAACACAGAAAAGCAGCTTCCCTGGAGTAGATCAGAGCTGTACTTAGTTATGCAAACAGTGCAGGGAAAAAACCCCACTGTTCTGTCAACAATATGACTTTGGGAGGTAGGAGGTAATGAGACTTGAAATTGTCTAAATCTGTTACTTGTAACAACAGATAAATAAGAGTTTCAAAATTGAGCAAAATCTCTCTTTCTCTACCTTCTGGTTTTAGTTATGTTCTTCCCATTTGCCCTGCACCTAAAGCAGCCTTCCTTGCATATTTGCATACAGTCGACGCCCTTGTAATCTCTCCCCTCTTTCTCCTTGACTGTCAGGCAAAGCAGTGGGAGGAGGGCGGAGGGCGGAGAGGAGACCAAAGCAGCCTTTGTCAGTAGGGGGCATGGCTGCTGCATAGCCTTGCAGTTTAGTTCTTGCTCAGCTCTCCTTTTACATCCAACAAAACCAATTGCTTTTTTTTTGGTCCCAAATACATCATTTGTGCTGACATTTCACCTTCTCTCACAGTGTGGAGCACATCAAGTTAGTATTGATTAAAAAAGGTCAACTAATGAATGAACGATGTTATAAGTTTTCCTTGAGCTAAGCTAAGGTTTTCCTGACTCTGCTAAGCTTTGGCTCTGGAAAGATAGTTATCATCAGTGCTGTGGCTGAGACTTAGATCAATAATTTTTACTTACACATGGGTATTTAATTATTAGTTCTTGGATGGTATTGAGGTTCTTTGCATTTCCCAAGGTTTAGAGAACTGCCCTTTGAAGAAAAATATTTTTATATTTTGTTTTGGGTTTTTTATAAACTCTATTAGAATTTTGCTTTAGGGCCTGATCCTGGAAAATAGCTACTCTATCCATAATTATCAGTAATATGAAGAATGCTGCATGAAGTCAGTGTTCAAAGACATCATGGAAATATTTATATGGACATTTAAGGCAATGTTTGCCAGGCTGATCTCATTTATAAGATAGCTTCTAAGGGAAGCAAAGTATAGGGAATACAGAAGTTGGGATCAAAATGTCAGGTCTTCCTGTAGATATAATAAACAATTGTCTGTTTCAATAAGCAAGTGCCTGTGTAATGGAGGAGATTAGTCACAAGGTGTCACTACAGTACTATTTTTTATCATATAGGCACATCTACCTAACAAATTACCTTTGCCCTGTGAAACACTGTGAGGAGATGACCTTTTGTGTGTGTGTGTGTGATAGTTTCATTTATAGTCAAGCTGGGGAATCATGTTCAATGAGAATGTGATTCCTAGAGAGACTTGTGGAGTTCAGGCCTGGGTGTGTTCTCAACCTTTCACTATGCAGTAAGTGTCACCTCATTTGTTTACTTGTCTGTTACTTGGATGCGGTGTACATCACCTGTGGCGGTCTGACCTCAGTAGCCAGCCACCAGAAGTCAGGATGTTTACACGACTTCCTCTCTTATTGAGAGGTTTGATTTAAAAGGGTCCGAGGATTGCGCATGGCAGTCGCCTCTCACAGAGGAACAGCCACTGCTGGACTGTATTTTAGAGTGGAAATTAAGATGCCATCCTCACCACGCTCACAAACTATTACTGACACCAATATTTAAATTTAAGAATTAACCAGTATATTAGGGGAAACGCCAAATTAAGGGACAAGGGTTCAGGAAAGGTGAGTTGAGGGATATATCAGGAAATAATTCAAAAGCAATATGCCCTTATTAAATAACAATGTACACTCCTGTGGAGGGGTGCAAGGATCGAGGGAGTAAAAGGGAGGACAAGACTGATGAAAAATCCTCTTTTAGAGGTCACGACGTGCGTGAGTGTAAGTTGAAGGGACCAATAAGGGGAGGAGCAAGGGGAGTAAAGTACACAGCCTTACTCTGTTCCTGAGACGGTCCAATGTGAGGACGTTTATCTGGGCAATCTCTCCTTCGGCATGGCTAACCGCCTCATGTGCAGAGGCGGAGGGCTGCACCGCACCTTAGTTGATTTGCAGCGGTAGTTTGGTCCCTCGCAGCGAGACGTGGCAGCACATCTCCCAGCGAGCTCCTTGTACTCCAAGTAGTGAAATCCCTGACAGCAATCAGCCACAGCAAGCAAACCTCCAGCAGACAGGTAGCCGATGGCAAGCAGCGTTTCTCTGGCAACTGCAAAACTTTAGTCTGGCTCCCCAACAAGTGGCTCCCAGCAGGTGGTTCGCAGCAGGCGGTTCCCAGCAAGTGGTTCCTCAGCAAGCGGCCCACAGCAAGTGACAAAGAACCAGCAAGAGCCACTACCTTTTATAATCACAGAATCCTAGGGGTTGGAAGGGACCTCGAAAGATCATCCAGTCTAACCCCCCCTGCCAGAGCAGGGTCACCTAGAGTACATCACACAGGAACTTGTCCAGGCGGGCTTTGAATGTCTCCAGTGAAGGAGACTCCACGACCTCTCTGGGCAGCCTGTTCCAGTGCTCTGTCACTCTCACAGTAAAGAAGTTCTTCCTGATACTCACATGGAACCTCCTATGCTCCAGTTTGCATCCATTGCCCCTTGTCGTATCACTGGTCATCACTGAAAAAAGTTTGGATCCATCGTCCTGACACTCACCCTTTACATATTTGTAAACATTGATGAGGTCCCCCCTCAGTCTCTTCCAAGCTAAAGAGACCCAGCTCCCTCAGCCTTTCCTCATAAGGGAGATGTTTTGCTCCCTTAATCATCTTTGTGGCTCTGCGCTGGACTCTTTCAAGCAGTTCCCTGTCCTTCTTGAACTGAGGGGCCCAGAACTGGACACAATACTCCAGATGTGGCGTCACCAAGGCAGAATAGAGGGGGAGGAGAACCTCTCTTGACCGACTAACCACACCCTTTCTAATGCACCCCAGGATGCCATTGACCTTCTTAGCCACAAGGGCACGTTGCTGGCTCAAGGTCATTGTCCTGTCCACCAGGACCCCTAGGTCCTTTTCTCCTGCACTACTCTCCAGCAGGTCAGCCCCCAAGCTCTACTGGTGCATGGTGTTGTTCTTCCCCAAATGCAAGACTCTACACTTCCCCTTGTTGAACTTCATCATGTTTCTCCCCGCCCAACTCTCCAGCCTGACCAGGT